TAAGGATAAGGGAAAACATTTAAACACGGAGCTACACTGATAGACACGTTTCTTACGTCCTAAGTGAACAGATCTTTAGCATTTTCTTATTTTGTACTTTTTTTAACTAGAAGATTATGCATCAAATGTTCTGATATGGTTTATCATGTAGAATGACAGTATTCTAGTACATTTCAAAAGCTCTGGATTCTGCAGATGTTTGATAACTTCATAAAATGTCAAGGCAATCTGACTCCCCCCGTTCTACACTGGTAACCAGGAAAAATTGGCTCTAAGTGTTTCCTTTATCAAAGCTTATTACTTTCCCACCCTTGACTTTTTAACTTAAGTAATCTCAACTCTCTCATTTTTTCCTAGTGGACCTACTTTTTAATATGTCCATCTTTCAAGGTCTTAAAAACTGCCATTTTCCCTCTGGAAATCATAACTTCTTGCTTGGTTGCCTCAATATGTTGACCTCTCTTAAACTCTGTGATAGGAGACCTTTGAGTCCAGGTTACATACACTGCTGTAGGAGTTCAAGTATATCCATCACTATTTTCCACAGAATTTTAAGGTTAAAGATCATGAGTGAGATGATTATCCTGTGGCACACCTTTTAAATTCAGGTTTATGTTTGGCTCTGGACTTCCCTAGCTGCTGAAGGTTCCAGGTTTTTATTTAATGATCTTCATGTAGCCAGTATGCTTTCATTAAGTACCAGCTTTGTCTGGGAGATAGAAGCCAGATTAGAATGGCTTCGACTCTTTGTGATGGCCCATCTAAAAATGTGGAACTTCAAACATTACCTTAGCTCCTAGACCATTTGCCTTAATCTGTTACAAATACTAGATTGTTTTTAAATTAGCAGTACCATTTTGTTGATTCATATTATTTGTATGCCCAGATTCCTCCACGCTTGTATCTAGTCGGTTGTTTCCATCATGTAATTTATTATTTGTATGTTATGTTTATTTAATGTTCATTTGAAATTTAGATGTATTTTGATATTTATGCATGTCATTTAGTTTGCTCTTAAAAATAGTGATACTGGTTAAAGTTTATTTTTACTTAGTCAATGCAGCCAACAGTCCATCTTCCAAGTGGTAATATGGGATCGGAGTTTACAAGATTTATGTGACAATCCTTGGAAGAATTCCTTTTGATAAAGTATGGATTTATTATATGAAATTTTTGAATCTTTTTTTAATGTATGCCATAATATCTCTTTTAGTTTTTCTTTACACGTTCAGATGTTTTATCTTCTGTTTTAGACCTGGAAATACATGTATGCCGTAGACTCGCTAGGCAATACATCCTTCTCCCTTTCCTGTTGTTTATACTGAAAAGACTGTAATTCAGGCCTAGCATCTGAATCTGTGTGCCATCATTCCATTTATATTATTATTTACTTTAAAATTTTAGCTATTTTGGGTAAAAGATGCAGTTTTGTGATGAAGGAAACTACTACAACGTAAAGAAGATCAGTAGAGCCAAAACCGGTTTGGCTCAATGGATAGAGCGTCGGCTTGGGGACTGGAAGGTCCCGGGTTCAATTCTGGTCAAGGGCATGTACCTTGGTTGTGGGCATATCCCCAGTAGGGGGTATGCAAGAGGCAGCTGATCGATGATTCTAACTCTCTTATCTCCCTTCCTCTCTGTACAAAATCAATAAAATATGTTTTAAAAAAAAGATCAATAGAGGAAAATTAGTGAAGGAGAGAGAGTAAGAATACACAGTTTAGTTTCTCAAGTATGCTTTTTCTTTGGTAAATTATATTTTTATAGTTCAAATATTAAATACTGGCCAGTATTTAAAGATACCTTTTTTAAAGGGCCTAATTTTAAGTTTTTCCAACTCTATGGGAAGATTTGTTCTGTACCCAATTGATAAATCATTCAAGTGTCATAATACATAATAATCTGTATAAATATTTGAGAAATTTAATGGCGTTAGAAGTTTGGGTTTGAATTTTGTGTGTGTTTAAAATACACATAAAATTTTAACCATTTTTCAAGTGTGTACAGTTCAGTAATACATGCACATTGTTTTGCAACTATCACTCTCCTCTCCAGAACTTTTCCAGCATCCAATAGAATCTCTGTTCATTAACCATTAACTAACTTCCCATTCCTCCTTTGTCTTAGGCCCTGGTAACCACTATTCTGCTTTCTGTCTCTGACTTTTACTGTTCTAGGTACCTCTTATAAGTGGATTCACAATATTTGTCCTTTTGTGTCTGACTTACTTCACTTAACATAATGTTTTCAAGGTTCATCCCTGTTACTGCATGTATCAGAGTTTTTGTTTTTTGTTTTTAAGGCTGAATATATTCCATTGTATTTATGTACCGTATTTTGTTTATCCTTTCATTAGTCAATGGACATTGGATTGCTTTCACATTCTAACACTTGCCAGCAATGCTACTGTGTACATTTGTGTATAAATATCTGTTCAGTCCTTGCTTTCAATTCTTCTGGGTATATACCCACAAATGAGATTGCTATGTATAAATTTTTTAAGAGCTGCCATACTGTCTTTCATAATAGCTGTGCCATTTTACATTCCTACCACCAATGCATAAGGGTTCCAGTTTCTCCACACCCTCACCAACAGTTGTTTTGTTTGTTTGTTGATAATAGCTATTTTAATGAAGTGGTATGTCGTGATTTCGAATTTCCCATGGATGCATTTCTCTATGATGTTGAACCAATCTTTTCATGTGCTTATTCACCATATTTATATCTTTGCTGAAAATTTTATTCACATTTTGTCCATTTAAAAAAATATTTTATTGATTTTTTACAAAGAGGAAGAGAGAATAGAGAGCTGGAAACATTGATGAGAGAGAAACATCGATCAGCTGCCTCCTGCACACAGTAGAGGTACTAGCGATGTGCCTGCAACCAAGGTACATGCCCTTGACTGGAATTGAACCTGGGGGACCCTTTAGTCCACAGGCCAACGCTCTATCCACTGAGCCAAACTGGTTAGCGCTTGCTTGTTCATTTTTTTAAATTGAGGTGTTTTGTTTTTTGTTGTTGTTATTGAGTTGTAGCTCTTTATGTATTCTGGATAATAATCCCTTATCAGATATATGAGTTGCAAATGTCCTCTCATTTTGGGGGTTGCCTTTTCACTCTGTTGATAACATCCTCTGATGCACAAAAATGTGAAATTTTGATGAAGCCAAATTTGTTTTTTTGTTGCCTGCGCTTTTAGTCTTCATGTGTTTTAAAGGAGGAAGAGTAATTTTGATGAATTACTAAAGAGAGGCAGGCCAGGGTGGATATGATGTGCACTGGTTAGAGTCGAGGGATGAAGAGAAGACCGTCTTGACTGGAATAGACTGTGGGTCACCGTGCACTCACGTTGATGGTAAAGCTGGTGTGGGTTGGGTCAGATTTATGGAGCCTTGAATCCTGTGTTGAGGCGTTTTAGGTCTGATATACAACCATCTGGTGCCTTTGGGACTGACTGACAAGGGAACAATTACCAAACTTAGGTCCAAAGCAACATTCATGCTGCTGTGTAAGGTCTACAAGAAGTTCAGAGAATAAAGAAAGCCTAGTAGAACTGCGTGCACTGTGATTAGCCGGAAGAAAGGCTGTGGTCACGACAATTAAATCACTACCTTCTGAGAAATTAAAGGAAGTGTCTGGGTGTAACTTGCTCTCATGTTTGTAGTGTGAAGTAATGTTTTTTCTTCTGCTTATTTTTCAAGTGACCTCTTTTGGGACGGTTAAGACCTCCATTTTTATTCTTTCATCCAGCCTTTGAGGATGGGTTCTTTAGTGGCACAAAAGAACTGGAGAGAGACCCAAGAAAAAATAGATTGGATTCTGAGTTCTAATTTCAGATGTTATTCCCTCTTGTCTACGTTTTATAAGCAGTTTCATAATTCTGAATTAGATAATTTCAGAACATTTCTCTGGAGTCAGATTTAGACACTTCTATTCCAGATGCATCACAATGTAACGCCTGACCCCAAAGGTCAGTGTCCGTGTACTTTACATTTTAGTACTGGCTTATAGTTGACCACAGAGCATGCTTACAACAGTTCTATCAATATCCTCCCTGCTCCCATATGGTCCTAATTGGGTTGTGACTAGAAGACTCCTGAAGGGTTTTTAAAAGATCATTATGAAGAAGTAATATTCACCAAAACAGCTTAGTGAAGATTATCTCAGAACATACACACAGTTAATCACTGACTTTGGCGGCTTTGAGTAATAGATTTCTATAGGTGTTTTCAAGTTGGGGATCATATTTGATCATGCTTCATCTAAGTTATGATTCAATGCATCTGCTTATGATCAAACGATATTTTTTTCCTCTTGTTTTTGTTATTTCCCCCATATAATTGCTAATATGATATATTTCCATTTTTAGGCTAGAAAAGTGTTTGAATATAGGTAAATAGAATATTTTGGTAATCTAAGTTACAAGTGGACGGTTTTCCTCTCACTAGGTTTTTTAAAATACAACAACGTACTGCTGGTATGTTGATAGTACTTGACAGTAGCTCATTTTAGTTTCCTAGAACTTTTAAGTTGATTGAACTATTATCCCCCTTCCAGAAATATTAATATCTTTTCAAAGCAGTTGATTATAAGTATGGAAAATGTTTGTGTTGGTAGGTACAAACTAAAATCCTTATTTGGTAGTTTATATGCATTCTTAAAATATCCTGAGAAAATACCTCCATTTTGTAAAAATAAAGTACCAGGCAGTATAAAGCCTAGAATTAGGACTCAAACCTAATCATCTGAAAGTTTATAATAGAGTTTCATGTACTAGGACACATCACATTCTAAGACAAGCTGATGTCTTAAGGATATTTATGATGAGTTTGGGGGATATAAGCTGTGTCAAAGGCTTTGCATCAACTGTATCCATTAGAAAAGGTTTGCATCTTCAGAGGAGATTGTTGGCATTAATATTTTTGGAATGTTCCCTAGCATTAGGAAGACTGGAAGCAAGTATGTCATCCAGATTACTGGTATGTCTACAGGTAAGAAAATGTTCTCTCTCCTCTCATTTTTGAACCATTATGCTTTAGTTCTTAGATATTAGAAATTTAGAAGGTTTTCAGTTTAATAGTGTTATGAAAGGAATGCTGGGAGACGATAAGGCGGCACAGCATTTTTTCTCAAAGTAACAAGAGTAATGCATAAGTACACGTAGTCATCATTCTTCCAGACACATGGTAGTGGCTGTCTTGCAAAGCACTGTTAGAGGTATGGGAGACAGATGAGACCCTGGGACTGTACTGTGGAAATTGTTGCTAAGTCAGGGAGTTGAGACATGATCTCAAATTAAGATATAGAAAGTAAAATAGTAAACACTGGAAGAAAAAATGAGATAAAATGTGCAGAGGTTAGAGAAATGAGAAGTCACTTGCTAGGTGCCAATTAGCAGATAAGCATGATATTAACTAATAAGGCTGGAAAGAGTTTTCATTTGTAAATTACAGCTGCTGGGGAGCGCCACAAGGTATAAATCCATCACTACGTAGGCCAGCTAGTAAAGATTTGTTGACTTAGTTGTCTGCCACTAAGAAATGGCATATCCTTTCATATCAAAATGTGTGGTTTTTTTTTTAATAATAGAGTCTTTTGAATATGAGCAACCTTATTGATAATGCTTTATATCAGAATAGCCAATATTGAAACATAATTAAAGTTTTTTCAGTGGCCTTTTTTGTTTACTGCATTTAACTTGCCATTAAGTTTATAGTTTTTTTTACTACAAATTATTTTTCTCTTTACATAGCAGGATATCCATTATCTCAAGCAGTACAGGTAGAATTTCCTTCTAACAATTGTTAATTGTGTGGATTTTTGCAAGTTTATGTAAAATAGCTTGTATCATAGCAAAGCATCAGAAAACTGGAATATTTAAGGATTTTTTTTTTTTTTTCTGGGTTGTGGACAGGGAGGAGGGAAAGGCAGGGCTGCTCTTAGGAGCCAAGGATTTTTTTTAGTATATTTTTAATTGGAGATGTTTTAAAGCATTAAATCGTTATTACCAAACTTTTTCCTTTTCCATTAAAATTATTTTCCAGCTCCACTTAAAGAAAATTATGTTTTGTTTTTTTTTTTACTTGTAAAATATTAAATTACAGGTGTTTTTAGGAGAGTATATTTTTCATTGGCTTCTGGTATTCTATTACAAAATTGCCCAATAATGAAGGTGCTTTAGGTCATGTATTTTATGGTTAAAACCTCAGTTTAAAAAACTTGAAGTCATTAAAATTCTTCAAAAATATAATTAATAAAAGTTGCTACAGAGAGTGTTACATAAACATAAAACAAATTTCAGTACGTGCAATAGGATAACATTTACAAACAAGCCTTTCTATGTCCTTTAGTCTCCATGTCTCCCCAGATCCTACTGTTTTCGGCTTGTGCCTCTTTCTGGAGATTACCTGAACATGCACAATCATACATGTCCTATGTAGTTTTTGCTATTTAAAGAAGTTATGGCATTCTATAAACACGATTTCACAGTTCTTTCAGGGAATACTGTATATTTTAGAAATCTTTACATAATTAGTACAAAAACATGTGCACCTTAACTTCTGATGAGCATATATGTTTAAAGTATTACATATGTCTCCTTTCCCCCCTGAATAGTTACGTTTTTAAAAATATATATATTAATATTTTATTGATTTTTTTTTTTTTTTTTTTTTTTTTTTTTTACAGAGAGGAAGGGAGAGAGAGAGCCAGAAACGTTGATGAGAGAGAAACATCGACCAGCTGCCTCTTGCACACCCCCTACCGGGGATGTGCCCGCAACCAATGTACATCCCTTGACCGGAATCAAACCTGGGACCTTTCAGTCCGCAGACCCGATGCTCTACCACTGAGCCAAACCGGTTTTGGCATCAATAGTTATGTTTTGACCAAGTCTTTTCTGTTTCAAGGAAGACTGTGATGTATTATACAAACATTGCCTGTGTTTTATTCTCTTTTAATTGCATTATTGTCCGTGGATAGGTTACGTTTATATAAGATTTTCTACATCTTACACATTCCTAAAATATAGGACATATTTACATAAATGATGTAGGTATACTTTTCATTTAAAAAATAGTAGTACACTTATTGTACACTTCTCATAAATTGGATTTCTGTGTGTGTCAGGCTTGCTTAAAAGGTGACATAGCTATCGTGGTCATAATGTTTCATTTTTCAGAGACCAAGTGAAAAAGTTCTGCCAGTAACTCATATTCTGACTTCTTCAAGTTCTATAACAGAAAACATTATTTTTAAAAAGAAGCAAAACAATATGGTGGGATTTCCTAAGTATACTGTGGCAGCTTTTTTTTAATGCCTGGGACTGGATACCTATTTATTTTGGCTTAAATTTATTAAGCACTATTGTTACATTCTTTTTTGTTGTTGAATTTATTAAGGTAACACTTTTTAACAGTTACACAGGTTCCAGGTGCACAGTGCTACCACGCGTCGTCTGTACACTGTACTGTACTGTGTGTTAACCGCCCCAGGTCAGGTCTCCTTCCATCACCATGTTCCCTCCCTAACGTGGGCAGCTTCTTTGTTAATTTTCTTTACCATCATTTCCTCAGTGATGACAGTTTTCATTTGCCCTCTTTTGTTAAAATGCCAAAAGACAAACTCTGACCATCGCTCAACATGCTAATACGTAATGGAAGACACTTTATTTACCATGCCACCCAACGACAGCAGAAGTATTTAGAAAAAAAAGATTGAATCTGCCTGTTTTCTTTGGTTTGTAAGGAAGTAGATCAATTTGAGGGTTTTTTTTTTTTAATATCTAAGTGACAATATATGTACATCATCCCTTTTAAAAATATGCTTATTATTTTCAGACAGGAAGGGAGAGGGTGAGAAACATCAATGATGAGAGAGAATCATTGATCGGCTGCCTCTTTCCTGCATGCTTTCTACTGAGGATCGAACTGTGACCTGGGTCAGTGGTCGGCAAACTCATTAGTCAAGAGCCAAATATCAACAGTACAACAATTGAAATTTCTTCTGAGAGCCAAATTTTTTTAACTTAAACTTCTTCTAACGCCACTTCTTCAAAATAGACTCCCCCAGGCCAAGGTATTTTGTGGAAGAGCCACACACAAAGGGCCGCATGTGGCTCTTGAGCCACAATTTGCCAACCACGGGTTGACGCTCCACCACTGAGCCACACCGGCTTGGTATACGCATCATCTTTTAATTCAATGTAGTACTGTAATTCTTCTTCCTGAAGTTAAAATGTCCTTTAGGGCTTTCTTTTGGGTCTGTAAACTAGTTCTGGTGTTTAACTTCGGCCAAGTTCTCAAATGGTTTTCTTGAGCCACAAACAGCCTAGATTTGTTTAGAAAGTTCCAGTGCTATCTCATGCTAATCAGAAGAAGCATCCATTTCAGCGGTGTGCAGTCTCCCTCTCCCCTTCCCAACATTCACACGGAACTCTGAGCTGGTGTATGGGGCTCAGAACCCGCCTCCTCCGGTGCCCTTTCAGCCGCCCCGTGCCCCTCTGTGTCTGCAGGTTTCCTAGAAAAGCTCAGACGCTGTCAGTAGTCATGCTATGTACCATGGCTCTCCCCAGTGAGGGCACAAGGGTCTTTCCCACATTCTCCTGCTGCAACAGCCCTAAGCTCTAGATTTTATCCGTTCAGAGCACAGTACAGCCTGTCTGATTGGCATTCGGGGAGAGTTTGGGGTAGAAGTGAGGTAGCGTAATGTACAGATAATCACAAGGGTTTGGAGTCCCACATTTGGGTTCCAAAGGCCCAGCCACTTACTATCCGTGTGACCCGGGGAAGCCACTCAGCCACTTGGGACCTAAATTTCCTTGTCTCTTAAATGACAGCAACATTTATGACCTTGTGGGCACTGATTGTAATAAAATACATGAAATATACTTTGTTTACAGTTCGGCACATTAAACGTTTTAATAAATAGTAACTGCTGTCATTTGTTTTTCATAATATTTTTGTTCTGCCAGTAGTATGCTAGTATCATTAGAAGGATACTAATGTTTGCGCCCAAGTACTTTGGATTCCATTTTTAATGTCTTCTGTTCACCTTTTAGAGATTTTACTTGTGGCTCCTGGAAGGGCTTGCTCTGCATGTTACTAGAATGTGTGCCAGGCCTTGTGCTAGTGTGTGGTCTGTCAGGAGCAGTAGACAGTTTACAGTTTAAGCCCAGTAGACATGATTTGTGTTTGTGTTTTATGCATAAATGGGGTTTCCCTCTCAACGTGTTAGTGTGGGGTGCTCCACGGCCCAGGTCTGCCATTGGCTCTTAGTGACCTCACTCGGTGTTCCTTCATCCTGTCTCCTTCCAGTCAGATTTGTTCCCTGAACTTGGGGCCTGTATCTACTTGAAATTTCCACTTTGATATCCAATAAGCATCTCATACTTAACTATTTTGTCAAACCAAACTCAAGAATTCTACCCCTCGCAGCTTTGCTCATGCATCAGCCAATAAATGGCAAGTCCATTCCCCCCCCCCCCCCCCCCCCCCAGTGAATCAGGCCAAAAATTTGACTGTGTTACTTTTATTTTCCTCTTCTAACCCACATCCAACCCAAGCCTAAACTGTTGGTCCAGCATTCAAAATATACAATACTAGAGGCCCAGTGCACGGGGTAGGGCCCCTAGGCCTTGCTGGTGATCAGGGCTGATCTGTGGGGTGACCATCGGGCCCCCACAGGCACCCGCTTTGGCCGGCCTGGCACTGCCTGCTTGCCGGCTCCACAACCTGATCGCTCTGCCACTACTGCTGGTCACCTCCCTGTGCGGATGGCCAGTGGAGCAATCGGGGCTCCGGCTGGCACCCACCTTGGCTGGACTGGGGCGGCTCTTGCATTGAGCGTCTGCCCCCTGGTGGTCAGTGCTTGTCATAATGACCCATCATTCAGCTGTTCTGATGTTCTGCCAATTTGCATATTAGGCTTTTATTATGTAGGATATCCAGAATATGGCCACTTTATCGTCCTCACAGCCTTTAGAGCCTCCCATCAGAGCCTTCTGATGGGTTTTCTTTATTCTGTTTTGCTATTCTACAGTCTTAAGTGCCTTAAAAAGGTCAATCTGATCCCATTGCTTCACAAATTCCCTCAGGTTTCCTGCCTCAGAGCAATACCTCATTCTTCTCCATGGCCATGCAGAGCCAAACAGACTGGTCTGTCACTCTGGGCCTCATCTGCCAGCTTCCCTTCTCTCTGTGAAGTCCGCTGGCTTCCTTGTTCTTTCTTTAGCCAGTATTCCTGTTACCTCGGCTGGAATGTCTTTTCCCCCAGATATTTTTATGCCAACTACAGGATTTTGCTTACATGTGGCCTTCCCTTACTGCCTTGTTTAAAAGTGCACCTTGCCTGGTTGCTTTCATTGTTTTTCTCTATAGCTTATCATTAACACAGGTCACCTATTTGTGTTGTTTATTACTGATTTCCTCCCGCTAGAAAGCAAGTTCTATGAGGGTAGGAATGTTGCTGTTTGGTATAGTATGTGCTCAGTGCTAGAGCCCCCGAGGCCTGGCACACAGTAGGTAGTCAACGTGACTTGTTAAACGAATGGGATGGGTGGGTCTGGAATCTCAGAAGGAAGGCACCTAGTCCTGCTGGCGGGCTCCAGGGAGACTTCCTGGAGGAGGTAATCCCTAAGCCAGGTCTTTGAGGACCAGTTGTTCTTGTCAGGGGCCAAACACAGGAAAACTATCCAGACGGAAGGAACTGTAATGACGTAAACACATCAAGGCGCACAGAGTAGTGGACCTGCCAGTCTGTACTGAAGAAATACAAAGTTTGAGATTCAGAAGAAGGTAGAGTGAAACACGAGGAAAGCATGCGGGGAAGCAGGTGTGGATGGACTGGCATTTCCTCGGACACTTAGTTTGAATGCTGTTGGAGTGTCTGATAAAGTACACTCTCCTCCCCACCTGGGACCGTGTGAGGAAATGGCTTAATGCAGAACCTTGGTGAACACAGCCACGTGTGTCCCACTAGAGCAAGAGGGGTGATCTGGTCCAGGAGAGGATGGCGAGGACCACAGGGGGGAGGACTGCACAGAATTACCAGACAGGTGGCTAGCCTGTGTGACTCCCCTCCCCCCCAGCTCCCGGGGCCAGGAAACGCTCTAATACAGTATTTAAAATGTGCCCTGGTTTTACTAGGTGTATCGGTTAATAAAGCAGATTTTGTAATGAAAGAAAACACGATAATTTCAAGAGAAACATCAAAAGTGCCCTATTCAAAGTAATGTCCATCGCTTGCTATACATTTTCCCATCTTTCAGGTAATTTGTGGATACCGTTCCAATAGAACTTTTTTTGTTTTGAGGCAAACCATCCAGAAAACCAGTTTTCCACTTCTTTGTACGTTTTGAAGTGCTGCTCAGAAAATGTGTGTGCCATCGATCAGAACAAGTGGTAATCTGAAGGAGCATGGTCTGGTGAATACAGCGGGTGGGTTAATACTTCCCAGGCGAGATCTTTTAACGTGTCTTTAACTGGTTTTGAAGTGTCTGATGATACGTTGTCGTGAAGCAAAATTACTTTGCTGTGTCTTCTGACCCATTTTGGTCATTTCACGATCAAAGTGTGGGTCAAATTGATTATTTGTTGTCGGTAGCAATCGGTATTAATGATTTCACCTGGTTTTAGAAGCTCATAATACACCACACCTTCCTGATCCCATCAAACGCAGAGCATTGTCTTCTTTCCGAAGCAATTTGATTTGGCCTTGAAGTCAATGTTGATGGTTGACCTGGATCAACCCATGATTTTGTGCGTCTCAGATTCTCAAAATAAATCCACTTTTCATCCCCAGTCACAATTCTATACAAACAAGACTGTCTTTCATACTGTTAAAACAAAATTTTACTGATGACTCTTTCATTTTCCATTTGTCTTTTGTTCAGTTGATGTGGCACACATTTTCCTTCCTTTAAAATCTTTCCCATTGCTTGTAAGTGATCAGAAATGG